ACAGTGTGAGTAAGGTTAACAGACCACTATTTACTTTTGCTATTGGGTTCAAAAGCTTGTGAGCAGCTCTGAAACAGACACAGAATGAGCCCCACTATCCCACCAGCAGCTGGAAAACACCATGCTCGTTCAGCAGAAGCATCCTTTTAAAATTGAAGGGGTGAGAGACCCAAATGCAGAGGCTGGAAAGAGCGAAACCACTAAGGTCTCAGCAGCAGCTGAGACAGTCAGAGCGGGCAGTGCACGGCTAGGCATCACTGTGGGGCTCGGGGAGGGGAAGAGGGCCAGGATGCCATGTGCCACTTCCTCGAAGGACCCGTATCTTCCAATTACAGCCCATTTCTGGTGGGCTGGGGCTCAGCCCGGACGAGCACCCGCAGAGAAGCCCAAGGGGGGACCTCGCTCTCCTGCCGCCTGCGCCTCCCCTGGTCTGCCTAGGCCGGGCGTGGGTAGCGCAGGAGACGCAGGGATGCCGGCGGGGTGGAGATGGCTGGAGAAGGGACCACTGCCATCTTAATGACACAGCACGGCCTTGGCCCCCGCCTGCCGGGCCACACCGCGCGGCGAGGCGGGGGGGGGTTCAGACCCCGGCAGGGCGGGATCCCCGGCCCGCCCCCCGCCGCCAATGGCGGGCCCGGGGCGCGCCCCGACCCCCTGCCCATCGCTGGACCGCAAGTCCCAGGAAGGCCCCGCAGCGGTGGGTTCGGGCCGGGGACACCCGCTCTCTAGGGCCGGCCGGGCCGGGCCGTGGCTGCTCGGGAAGAGCGCCCTGCCCACGCCCGCCCTGGTCCCAGAACTACAGCCCCCAGCGCGACGCGGGCGGGCGGGACGCGCCGCAGGGCACGCCGGGCGCTGTAGTCGGCGAGGGCCCCGGAGGCCGCCCCGGTGCGGCCGCCGCAGGCGCCGGGGAACCACAAGTCCCATGAGGTCCCGCGCGGGCGGCGCCCAGGAGGGCGGCGGGGTGTGAGCCGGCCGCGGCGGGAGTAGCCCTGGCGAGCGGGCGGGCGGGCGGGCCGGCGGCGGGGCGCGCTTACCGGCGTGTCGAAGGAGAAGGCGCACTCGTCCTTGTGGACGCGGTCGCCAGCCTTGGGCACCCGGATGGACGGCAACACCGACAGCAGCGCCTCGCTCAGCTCCGCCATGACAGCGGCTCACTGCGGCACCGCCCACAGCCCCGCCCCGCCCAATCGCAGCCCGGCGCGGTCAGGCGGGTTCTGGCCAGTCAGCAGTGAGGCCGAGGGCCGGGCTGGTGGCGCCCACCGGCCGGCTCGACCAATCGCAGCCACCCTGCTGCCGTCACAGAGGGCGGTGCCGGGCTTCTTGACCAATAACAACGTAGAACGGGGCGTGGGGGGCGGGTCAGTGCCCGAAGATTGACAGCGGGACGAGGCGGGACGTGATGGGCGGGGACAGCGGGGCCGGTGGGCGGACGGGAGCGGGGACGATGGGATGGGCGTGCCGGGCCCCGCCCCCATGCGACGGCCAATGGGCAGCGGCACTGGCCGGCGCGCGGGAGATTTGAACGGCGCGGCCCGGCAGCAGCACGGCCGTCACTGCCATGGGGGCCTCGGGCAGCGCCCCTGCCACCCCCACCGCGCCCTGCAACAAGCACCTAGCGCACGTCAGCGACCCCCGCTCTCCCACCGCCGGCATTCTGCGCACCCCCATTGAGGTAGGCGTCTTCCCGGCCGCCGCCGCCGCGCCCTGGACGGCTGCGGCCTGCCGCCCCCACGGCTGCCCTCTCTGCAGGTGGTGAGCTCCCCGGCGGGCAGCCCGCAGCCCAGCCCCGCCGAGCCGCCGGCGGGCACCGCCCAGGAGCGGGACCCGCGCTCGCCCACGCCCGGTATCTCCCGCACGCCCATGAGAGCCGTGTCGAGTGGTGAGTGAGGCAGGTGCGGGGAGGCGCGGGGTAGGGGCTGCCCGGCCCGGCGGCTCACCCCACCTTCTTCCGCCCCCGGCAGACAGCGTGGACCGCCTAGTGAAGCAGCTCAGCGAGGCCTTCGGGGCAGAGGCCGCGGCCCCGGAGCCGGCACCTCCGGGAGCGGCGGATCCCGCCGAGGAGCCGGCACGGCGGAGCGGCCCGCCCGCGGGGGAGCCGGAGGGGCCGCTCTCCCCCAGCACGGGCCCTTCTTGGCCCGCCCGCCCCGCCGGGTACGGCTTGACCTCCGGTAAGTGCTCGGTGTGGCGGTGACAGGGCTCCGTGTGCCCCGAGAGCCGCCTGGCCCGCGGTGTGAGCAAGTCGGGGCTCTCGGCACCCTCGGAATCGGTTGCCTTCTCCAGGCTTTGCCCCCTGACAGAAGCCTTGTCCTCATCCCCCGGTTCGGCTGTGTCCCACCACCCTGGGCAGCCTGATCTGGAGGCTCTGCAGCTGGGAGGCCCCTCTGGGAGGTGTTGGGTTATCAAACCTGTTTCTTTGAAGAGTTGAGAAATTGTGTTTTCAACCTGTAGTCAAAACCAAGAGGTATATGTAAACTGCTCCCCTCTCTGAGGTGGGTTTGTGATTATGGAGACCTGTTCAGAGAAACCTTTCAGCTTTTCCTTGGGAAGAGTTAGGGAGCAAGGGTGGGAAGCACAGTGCTATGGATGAGTCTGTGATATGGACTGTGCTACAGAAAGCTCTGTGCTGAGCATCTCTCCTAGGAGGAGAGGCTGAGAGCTGGGACTGTTCTACCTGGGGTAGAAAAGGCTCAGGGGGTATCTTATAATACACATATAAATAGTGGAAGGGAGAGCCAGGCTCCTTTCAGTAGTGGGACTAGAGGCGACAGGGACAAAATGGAACACAGGAAGCTTCTGAACATCAGGACACACTTTTTTTCACTGAGAGGGTGACTGAGCACTGGAGCAGGTTGCTCAGAGAGGCTGCAGAATCTCCATTTGAGATATTCAAAAATGACCTGGACATGGTGCTGGGCAACTGGTTCTAGGTGGCCCCGCTGGAGCAGGTCCTCTGAGTTCCCTTCCAGCATCAGCCTTTCTGTGATCCCTTTGCCTAGAAGTCCTCAGGTAAGTCTTTGCTGTACAGGCAAGCAAGCTAGATCATAAAGGCCAGGGGGCATTTAAAATCTAGGACCTTCTAGCCTTGTTGTGATGCACTGGTGTGTTTCCTTCTGTCAACTAGTGAGCAAGCCTGTAAGACACAAGCCCAACAACAAAATCATGGCAACATCTGGAGGAACTGGCCGCTCTCCCCTCAGCATTCTACAAGATGATAATTCTCCCAGTACTCCTGCCCCTCGCCAGGTAAAGCTTAATGGGTCATATTGTGGGACAGAGAATGGGCTGGAAAAAGCCAAATCCTTCAGTTTCTGTGTGTTGTAGGGCCCCAGTTTGGAACTGTGGTCTCCTAAACCTGTAGAGCCTAGGAACTTCATAAATATTTTTCTGTGGGTCAGCCCTGCCCTTAGGTGCCTACAAGTCTTGTTTAATGTCTGTCTTAGGTCTTAACATGACATTGCTCATTTCAGTGCATTCTTTCTCTTTAGGCTGTAGAAAGAAGTCCATCACTTTTTTACATTGTTACAAGAGAGCCAAAGCTGAATGGCCTGAAAATAGGCTGCATGTTTCACTGAGAATTACCTAACCATCAATTAATTTGTGTTTTACACTTTGTTTGGGTTTTTTATTTCTCTAGGGCAAGAAGCATGTGTTGGGAGAGAACCTTGGGGAAAAGAAGGAAGTGACAGTGGACTTGAGCAGGAGCCTTAAATCTGGGAACTGTGCTTGGAATGACTTGAACAAAGAGAACCAACAGTGTCCTTTTGTGGAGAATTAGAGATTTCCTTTTTCAGGATCTTGCTGTAATTTGAGTTTTCTAGGGGGGGAAATACTGCAATAGACTGAAATTCTAGAGCAGTGATCACATTTCTTGTCTATCCCTGTGGGGAAAGATTACTCTCTCTCTCCCTCCTAGTTTGCCATGTCTTATGTACAGCACAGACTTTGGCTCTTCTATTGTACGTTGCTGTATTGATTTTTCTGTTGAGTTTTTATCTGTAGTAAATAAATTTGTGTTAAGCCTTTAGCCTTTGCTGCTGATAGGACAGCAGGAGTCCCCTGCTTGCCCAGGACAATATTTTCTTTGGGGACAAGGGTTCACGAACAAATAGTTCAACTTCCCATTAGCCCTAAAAACTGCAACTCACTGAAGGGTCTGGTCTTGAACCCACATGCTATAGCAAGGGCCAGGAAGCTGCAGCTCCATGCAGGAGACTGTACATCTGGGGTTGCTTTTGAAGTTAAACTGCCTGCACTGGCCTAAAACTAATGTATACAAAGGACTGTAGACTATTGCAAGGGTCTGGCATGAAGGTGAGATCCAAAATAGCGTGGGATAGTATTGTGTGCTAATACTGACCTTCTGTTGCTAAACCTTGCTGACCATCAGCTCTCCCTCGCAGAGCCTTGGGACCCCAGGATGTTGTTATGAGCCAACAACTGGAATAGGGACTGAATAAAATGTCTGTGTCCTGTAACTGAGCTTAAATCTCCAAGGTTTGCAAGGGTGCATTTTCAGCTCTCTATCCTAATTCCAGCCTCCCAGGTGAGGAACACCCTCCTCTGAGGGATTGTGAGCTAAAGCAAGATCTGTGGATGAGGTGTCTGGATGGGATCAGCAGGCAATATTCATAGGAGAGGAGTTGTGCTTGCAGTAGCTCACTGCAGTGCTGGAAAGAACACAGCCTGCAGTGCTTATGTGAGTTTTCTTTATTTGCCTGGGCTATGAAGATCTAAACAAACTTGAAAACAGGGGCCAATGGCTACTGGTTAGACAGTGTCACCACACAATGCAGGAGTGAGGCAAAAGGGGAAGGTACAGCAAGAAGCAAACAATAAATAACAAATACAATATTCCCTGATATTCTGGCAGGTCTGAGGGCTACCTTTCTGCCATTTATGCATAGATAAGACTTGCTCTAAGAAAAGAATAAATATATTCTCTGGTATTTTGGAAGGTCTGAAGACTACCTTTCTCATGTTTATGCATAGATAAGACTTGAGCTAAGTCTTCCCCAATGGAAATGAGCCAAATTTACATTAGCTTTTTGTTTGAGGTGGTGTGATAGAAATTTCAAACCCAGTACATCTCCGTGGCTGTCTGCAGGGATATAGGACAGCTGCACAGAGAAGCTAGGTAGAGTTAAATCAGGGAGAGATCTTAGTTGGGGGCAGGTGTTGGATGAGGGATCCTCTGAAGGAGGAGGATGTGTGTCAGTGTGGGTAGAGGTGTTTGAAGGAAGATGCAGGTTGTCTGAATTGTACTGTAAAGTCCTGAGACATAAAGAACAGTGTTTTGCAACTCTTCAAGCCTGCACAAGGCTGGAAACTGCTGGGGCTATTTAGAGGTGGAGAGAAGGGCCAGCGTGTGTGCTCCTGTTCCCCAGCTCCCCCTGCTTCTCCTCCCTGACCTCTGCTTTCCCTTTCGCTCTGGGAGACTCCTACAAGTGACCTGTGTCTAGAGACAAGCGGGAGTGGTAAGTAGGCGTTTCTGTTGTGCTCATCTGACGATGCTGTTTGCATGGGCTTGGGCTGTGGGCCTTGCTTCCACTGCTCTTCCCCTTTCTGCTGCCATCCTCAGTTCCAAATCTTGAGGAAGCTGTCCCAGGAGCCAGTGGCAACAGCCATGCCATCTGCTGTCACGCCCAGGCAGCTCACTCTGTTATCGTGGCCGGAAAGTATTCCTATGGGGGAGAAAGGAAAGGTCAGGTAAGGAAGTGGGGCTTGTGAGAGATGACAGGGTTGACCACGCAGAGGACATGCATCATGGGCTGTGTACCTACACCCCTGTGTGTCACCTTGTTCCTATACAATGTGTTAAAATTGGTACGTGTCTAATAGGAGCAAACACACGGAAGAACTTTTGTGCATGGCCTACAACCACCACCCATGGGACTGGCCGAAGAGCAGTGTTCTTGGGCAAGTACAGCCAGCTGAATCCTCATACAACTGCTTTCACCCTGGAGTGATGTAGGACTAGGGAGGGTGTCCTTGATATAGCTGAGAAACGGCAGTGATGTCGGTGGGCTGCATTTCTTGAATTTTCTGAGGGTAGGGGCCACATTTGAAAGAAAAATGGTGTGTATTCTATGTACGAGCATCAGAAAATATCCAAAGATGTTGGATGGAAGCCCTAGCCCACTCTTGGCTTGGTGCCTGGCCACCGAGTGGCACTGTGAGTACCTGGAACTGGCAAACAGCAGAGGCTAGGAGAAAATAGGAAAGTCTGCTGGTGGTTGTGAGTGGTATTAGCTAATAGTAACCTTCTTTCCCCTTGAGACGATGTTCCTTAAAGTCTTGACTTCCTTAACATGAGAAACGATAGTTCTGCACAACTGAGAGTTGTACTAATTATGGTGTGCTCCTTAAGTGCAAGGAAGCCTTGTCGGGTTTCGTTCAGTATAGGATGTGTTCCTTTCAGAAAAAATAAATGCCTTTTCCTTGCCTTGATAGGGACACAAGGCCTCGCAGGGAATGAAAGAGCCACTCACCCACACGCTCTGCTTTCAGGGAGTCCCAGATGTTGCAGTTGAAGTCATCGTACCCAGCAAGCAAGAGACGCCCACTGCGGGAAAGGGCAACTGATGTGATTCCACAGATGATGCTCTCGTGAGAGTACACTATGAGCTCCTGGTCCGCCCGGAGGTCAAAGAGACGGCAGGTGGCATCATCTGAGCCAGTGCAGATGGCTTCACCATTAGGGAAGAACTGGGGAGGGCACATACCAGATTTTAGTGAGGTTTTCCTCAGATCTGACAGATTTTCTCAACTCTTCAACTCCCTGCTAACCTCCAGGAAGCCACGGAGGTAAGAAAACCCAGTAGGACAAGGTACTGGATCATAAAAGTTGAGTCTGCTGAAGAGGGAGATTGATGCTTCTCCTAAGACCTAATAAACCCCTTCCACCTCAAGAAAACCAATGACCTAGGGGCTAGAGCTGTTCAAGACATCTCAGTCCTTGAGGAAGGATTACTTTAGCTCCAGCTGTGAGTTTGGGGCTTGACAAATGTCTACCCATTATTGCCCAGCTGGGATCTAGCATGATTCAGAGCTATGAGAGCCTTCCTCTGTCTGATCCTCATACCCCAATCTTCTCATACATGCTCCCTTTCTGTGGCCTTAGTCTGAGAAGCAAAGAAAGGGCTTCTAAGGAGCACAGGTATGGCAGAAAACCATGTGGCTGGTAAGGTAGCAGTGGGACAGATAAGGAAAGTTGTAATTGAAGTCAGTGGAGGGTGGTTCAAGGAGCAGACTGCAGAAATCTGGCAGACTCATTGCTTATCCACAAGGATTAGTCTGGCATGTTTCTTGCCCTTGCTGTCTCCAGGGCTCTGGTTTGAATCCTTGCCTCTGAGGGCATACTTTCTCCCAGATGTCTGTGCTGCCTCTTGTGAAAATTTAATCTTCAGAAAATCTCCCTGTGATCCCAGATTCCTACCTCTTCTATCTGGAGCTGACTAAGACCCTCAGCTGCATTAGGTATTCCCACTGCCTCACATGTGTCTTGTGCCAGGGATGCTGGAGCATGCCTGAACCACAGTTCCCAACAGCTGCTATGAGCAAAGCTGCACCAGCACCTGTGTTAGGGTGCTGAGGTACACAGACCATGGTGTGCTGGCTGTCTAAGACCTAGGTGCTTCGGTGCCTGGGAAGAGCCACCCTCCAAACTTCAGTGAACATAGGCCCTCCCTGCTTCAGGCTGGATGTTTGGGCCAGGGTCTCCTAAGACCCTTGTTACTCAAACAACTGTGACAGCTTTTTTCAACCTTGTCCCAAGACTCTGTTTCAGAGCTGGTCCACCCTCCATTTTCCATGCTTCCCCATCCCTGTGCAGACAGCATACGTACAGAGATGGCATTGATATCAGACTCATGTCCTCCGAAGGTCTGACGGCAGGAGCCCTCCCGCACATCCCAGAGTTTGGCAGTAGCATCACAAGCCCCAGAGATAAAGAGTTTGAAGTCTGGGGAGACAGCCAAGCTCATACAGTCTCCGGTGTGTCCCAAGAACACAGTCTTCTGCTGCCCCGTCTCAATGTCCCAGAGTGCACTGTGCGGGGGGAGAGGAGAGAACTCAGAGCCAACCCAGGTGAACAGTGTAGAACAGATCTACAGCTGGGCCAAAGGGCTGTCCCACTCGCAAGCAAAAGGAGGAGGGAAGCCATGGCTACAGCACGGGAAAACAGGTGATAGCATCCCTGGAGTCAGCTGTATACAACAAGAGATACCTTCACGGCTGTTGCTGGTGACACCTTTGCCAGAGTTAAACTAAGGATGGGGGTTCTGAGGTTTGACCATATTCCTGTAACTGCAACAGTTGAAGGGAATACTGAAAGGAGGTAAGAGTGACACAAAAAGCATTAATCAGCAAATGGCTGAAAAAGATCTGCTGTGGCCATGCTTGTAGGATGCACACCCCATGTTCACACTACAGCCAGGCAAGCAAGCCCTGTGTTACTCTGATCTCTGATGGAAATGCCACATCCTGACTCATCCTTGGTCAAGAGGTTCTTCCAAAGCAGGTGTTGGGATGGGGTGGGGTGAATAAAGGCTCGGCATTGTTCAGTCTCAGCACAGCGAGAACTGAGAATCAGGAACAAAAGGCTCCAGGTGCTAAGTCTTGCCCACCCTTGCACGGTGGGCAAGACTTGAGAAGTGAAGCACATTGGTGGGCTTCACATAAATTTAAAATGTTTTCTGTCCTTGGACAGCTGACACTGTGCTTTGTGAGAGCTGACAACATGGTCCCTACTGCTTCACCAGTTGACCTGCATCTTGACCTGGCATCAACTGGGAAAAGAAGCACCTATTCTGCCAAGGGAGGAAGAATGGATCAGGCTTCTTAAGGTGTTCCGTGTGGCCTCCCCATGTAGGAGCAATTCTTCCTTAATGGACTGCTGCAGAGCCAAAAGACTGCACTTGCTGATGTGTGCTCTGCCTCTAAGAGCCAGAGGTCATGTCACTAGGACGCAAAAGACAGCACTCACCATGTGGTATCTCCAGAGCTAGTCACAATATTGTTGTCATCAAGAAATCGGCAGCAGGAGAGGTATCCTGGGAAGCAGGAACAAGCAAATATGAGAAAAGGTTCAGGGCTAGAAGGGTGAAGTTTGGAAGCAGGAGTTGCCCAGATTGCAGGCAGGTGGTGCACACACCTGTATGGGCTGAGAGCTCCCTGCTCACTTTGACATTGCCTTCACGAGACTTGAGGCTGTAGATGGAGCACACGTTGTCAAGGCCCCCACAGGCCACAAAATTCCCTGAGGGAGCATAGGCACAGGTCATGACCCAGGAAGAACGCAAAGGGATGGCATGAACCTGGGAGGACAAGAAACCGTGTCAGGACTCTGAGGGGACCCATTCCAGCATCCCCATTTGCTGCAGCCACCTGACTCCTACCTTGTTAGTTGTGTATGTGTCCCACACAATCAGTTTCCCATCTTGTGAGGCACTGACCATAAGTCTGTGAGAAAGGAACAAGATCATGTTAGTAGCTCTCTTCCCATCAGAGCCTTTCTGCCCATCACGCCCCTGTGCTGCCCTGCATCCAGCAGATCAGCAGCATTGCTCTCACTTGGAGTCTGTGGACCAGTGCAAGGCATAGATCTTGGCCAGGTGCCCCCGCAGGGTCCTTCGGGTCCGCATCTGGATGCGGCCAACAACCTCCACTCCAGAAACAATCTGAGAAAAGAATGGTGGGACAGAAAATCAGTCTTGGATTGGCAGAAGCTTTACTGCTATCCATATCTCTGCCTTCTAACTCTGCTTCCCAGCTGGAGAGAGACCCCCTCAGAGTGGTGCTAGCTGACTCCCACACAGTCACCTGCCCAGCCAGCCCTGTCCCTTACCTGAGCCAGTGTTGTGTCTGCACAGGCTTTCCGGGCATCCTGGAGAAGAGACAAGAGCATATGAGACAGATTAAAAACATGTGATGAAGGCAATGGCAAGTGAAATTCAGGGGTGTAGCCTAGGGGCTGCTAGAAGTAGGAAATGTGGCTTTGCTGTGTTTGGACTCTGGCTAGCCCAGGGGGATCCCGATCTGTGATTGGGGTACCTCAACACCAGTTAAATGTCAGGAAGGTGAGACAAAAGCTGGTCAGCATCCAGTTCCCTGTGCTGCACCCTTTCTGTGGATCCTCCCACTGACAGAACATCAGCTGCCTTGAAGACAGGGATTCACTACACTCTTTGGACTGTTGTCCCCTCTTCTTTCCCTTCCCCTCCCACTCTTCCCCCACCATGCTGTGAAGATCTCCATTAGCACTTGAAGGGCTGTGGAGAACTGCATAGGGTTCCGAGTATGTAGATGGAGAAAGCTCAACTCCAACTGGTGGCTGAGAAGGAAAGTTTGTTCCCACGGTGGGGGGATAGACACTCTCTCAGCAGTTTCACAACTGTTGCCAGCATTACCGCAATCTGCTTCTTCAGCTGCTCAGCCTCCTGCTTCATCTGTTCCATTTCCCCCATCTTTATGACCTAGGGGTGGCTCCTTCACGTGGGGCAGCCTTGATTCTGGGGAGACAAATCAAAGGAGAGAAGTGTGAGGTAGAAGGGGCACTAATATGACTGATCAGTCATGCAAATGTAAACATAAAGTCTTAGCGACCATTTCTTGGCTGAATGCTTGATAATGTTGTTTTGTATCCAGTTAAAGCTCTTAGCATTTGGAAAGATCATATTGGGCCTGACCAAAGGTTCAGTTGGTCTTGTATCCTGCTTACACATACACATTGTGAAGCTGAAGAACTCCAGAGCCTCTTACTGTGGTTCTGGCCACACTTGTCCTCTCATTTTTAACCTCTCCATTGCAAACTCTACCAAGTCCTGGTCCTCTTCATCAGGTTTTCCCTGTTCATGGCCAAGCTGTCCACTGCAGCTCCAGGAGGAGAAAATTTGATGGGGGGAGCCCAGTGGCTGTTTCCTGTTGTTTGTCCTAGGCAAAGCCTCACCAGGCAAGACCCACTAACTCTTTGACTACTAAGGAAATTTGGGGACTGTTGAGATGCTCTCTCAGGATTCCCTTTTAGTTTTCCATAAAAAAAAAAAAAGGAAGCCTAGGGAAGGATCTAAGGATAACATAAGCTGAGAGTGGTATTTCTCCTACTTGCTCAGCCCCAGCTTTTCACTGACATCCAAAGCTAGAGCAGCATTACTGTATGGAAGTCCTTCATGGACTTTTCTTCTATGCATTTGTCCATACAATTTTTGTGCCCATGTTGAAGTTTAGCATCCTCAGTACCCCATCATGATGACTTCCACAGCTTGGTGGCAGACTGTGCAAAGAAGTTCCTGCTTCCATTACTCCCCAGTGTCACTAATTCCACTTGGAGGTACCTGTATTTTGAGTTGGAAGAATTAGGAAATGAATGGTCTCTATTCACCTCTGCATCATTTGGTATTTTATAGATTTTTGTCATATCTGTCTTCATTCACCTATTATCCAAACTGCAGAACAAACTTAGTCATTCCTCCCATGTAAGCTGTTACATCCTATTACCTCTGTTGTTCTCGGAGCTCTTTTCAGTTGTTTACAGAGCATAGATGATATGTTTTTGCAGGGAGAGCAGTGAACCAGAACTGTAATCCACATTCAAGATGCAGGTGCACTGTATCATTATACAGCATCTCTTGTTTTGTTCTCTCTTTCTTCACCAGTGATTCTACCATCTCCCACTCCTGTAGACAGACCTGGTCTTTAATTGCTTTGACATTTCTCCTGGATAGGTGTGTGTCCAGATGTGCTCCAGGTGTTGTTTTCATTAGAACCAGGGCTTTGCCCCTAGGCCAAGAAATGTTCCAGCAGCATCTGTAGAATTTCTCCTAGTCCCTGTGGGTCACACCACCTCCATCCCTCTCTGGCCTATTGCCTGAAGGCCTCATTTCTTCCAGCCTGTGAAGCTTTGGGTCCATCCATGCCAGTCTGCCCTCTTGCTGTGGGCAAGCACATTCAGAAAGATGCCAAGTCCCATCTTTGCTTGCTGCTTCATTGAGCTCTTCGAGTTTCCCCTCACAAATTCTTTCCCCCGAGCGTCTCCACAGCTTTCCTTTGATCCTCCATGCACAGTGAGTTTCTGCTTGGTCAATCATTCCTGTGGCATGGTGTTGAGTGTAGGAAAGACAAGGAGACACAGGTTTCCTGTACCTCCTGGGAGGCATGAGCTTATCCCAGCAGGAGTCTATTTCAGGCTATACTTTGCAGAGAGAGTCTTGTGCCTGCTGCCTGCAAGGCTTGACAGAGCTACAGCACTGCTGACTCCCTGCTCCCTGCCCATGCACTGCACATGGGTGCTGGCCTGGTCTGCTGGCCCCAGCAGACAGTGAGGGAGCAGGAGAGGAATTTGGGACTGCACTGTCAGAGGCACATGCCACAGCAGTGGCCTGGGGCTGCCAGCCTCATCTATACTGAAGGATGGAAACAGATCAGCACCTAAGCTGCACCCTTAACATTTTATTTTTCTTCTCTCAGAGCAGTGATGAGAAGTGTCCTCCCAGTAAGGATGCACAGCTGCACCTCACTGAGTGACTGGCCATGAAAGCCCACATGCATGCAGTTCTCCTTTGGGAAGGGAATGGATACTCCACCCTCCTCTCAGCTAACTGACAGAGGGGGGAGATGCTAGGGAAGGCCTTTTAGCTTTCAGATGGAGGCTGCACATCCTCCTTATCCTGTGGTGTTTGTCCCTCAGTTTCAGTGTACAGAAAGGCTGTGAGACTGTGTCCAGCTGTGGTCGCTGCCTACTGACACCTAAGGCACACCTGAACTTCCAGCCACCCTGCAGGGACCAGCAGGCCCACCCCAGAGACCGCTGTGGCCCAAATCCTGACCTTTCTCAGTGTTCCTTGCGACTGATTCTACCTCCCCTCCATTAACACTAAGCATTGGATTGCCTTTTCCTTCTGGGTCACCTCTTCCCTCCAATTCTCTACTTCCAGCCTCCTCTGCTTGGTTCCCAAGCTCTTCAGGCTGTTATTTCACATGCCTTTGGCTGAGATCATTGTCCATCCTGCTGCCCTAATCTGTCTTTGTAGACTTCTGGGTTTGCCTATGCAGACCCGCATGGGGATGGGAACCTTATTCTGCCTTCCTTCCAATTTCTGCCTCAGGTGAAGCTGACTGCACATGTCCTCCTCGTTACCCATCGGATCCCAGTCATCCTTGTATTGCTTCTGCTTTTTTATTGCTCTCTTCCGTTGCATGGGTGTTTCTCAACTCTGGCACTAGCACAGGAGTGCCAGTTCACCGCCTTCTCTGTAAAGCTGCACAACGAGATGAGGGGCTTTCGGAGCCAGTAGGCAGATCAAACGGCAGGGGCAGGATGTCGAGGACAGATAAAAAGGTCTAAATATAGAGAAGGTGCAGCTCAGGACTCTGTCCGAACCTTTAAATCCCTTTGAGGGAACACTCTAAATGAAGCTGGGAATTGTTCTCAGCCTCAGAAGGACAAGGAGCCTCAGACGAGTGATAATAATAGCTCCATCTTTGCCTGTCCCCTCCATCCATCACATCCCAGGGCAATTTGTGGATAGTGAGTTACCCAGTCCCCACCGTAGTGCAGCTGCCTCCCAGGAGGACTACAGCAGGTGTGCAAAAGAGCAGCTCATCATCGTCATGTAAATTTAGAACAGGAAATGGGGGGAATCAAATGGGAGAAGAACAGAGGAAAGGGGAACAGAGTTTGCAGTTTGGCCAAGGCATGTTCCTGCCTTGACCAGCAGGACCTCAGGAATGCACACTTCTTGTGGATCCAAGGATTAGCTCATGGTTGCTCATGGCAGCTGTCCAGGCTGGTTTTAATGAGAAAGGCTTCTAAATGGTTCACACTCAGTCCTTTCTGGAAGTAAGGGCTCTTTCAGGTGAATGCTAAGCAGTAGAGGAAACCAAGTCCTTAGGTACCTTTGGAAAAAGCAATTCACCACCATCAGCACAGCTACTGAGAGGTGGACCTTGGCACCAGCACTGGTCCAGAGTTGTGCCCCCTACAAGCATGACCAGAGAGCACAGCACAGCCAAACAGAGCCTGGGCTCAGTCACTTCATGCCAGCCCTGTTCTGAACTCTGCCTCAGCTGTGCTCATCCAGTTCACAGCTCTTGGCTTCTGAAACCACATTTCATTTCTTCTGCTCTCCAACATGACAGTTCTTTCCACTCCTGCCTTTTCCAACAAATTTGCTGGAGGCACCTGATGTAGCATTCCTGTCTGTGGGCAAACCAACCCATCCTGAGCCCTTGGGTGTCTGCTCGTAGCAGACCGAATGCCTCTACTGTGGTGTGAGGCACAAGGGAACCTGAAATCACCTGTCTTCTGCCTTTTGCTGCCACATCCTGTCTTTTTAGGGCAGTGGCTATATCCCTTGCACTGTGCCATGGAAGGGGCCCAGCTTGCACCCTAGGGACTGTCCCACTAAGTCACCTGCATCACTCCCTTGTGAGTATCAGGGTGCAAGTTATCTATCCTCTGGGTAGCTTCCCCCACATGGGGGAGGGAGTGGTCCCTCTGTGGAATGTTGGGAGAGGGCTGTGAATGGAAAAGGGAAAGGTGCAGGAAGGAGGACTCATTATTAACAGGCAGCATCCCTGGGTCTCTGTAATCCCTGACTGGCTTCGCAGGCTCGCCCTGGTGACCCTGGGCTCCTTGCAGAGCCGGATACAGAGATGATCCCTCTCTCCTGTGATGGAGATCAAAGGTCAGGGTAAAATTACCCTGATCTGCTCCTTGCTTTTTGAGGGCTCCTTCTCTATCCGGTAAAGCAGCCAGCTGCGAAGAGGTGTGCTCGGGGCACAACAGGAGTGCAGGACTGTGTAGAGGTAGTGAGTGCCAGGTCCCTCAGCAGAGGTGCTACCCTCCTGCTTCAGTCTGAAAACTGGTGAGATTTACCTGCCAAAGGGAAAACAAGCAACCCCATCCCTGTGCAAAGCCCCTCACCACTGTAAAGACATCTCAGTGCTAACCCCAAGTCTCTCCCCTCCATGATCTCAACCTTCCGCATCCTCTGATGGGATCAGCCCTTGTACAAATACTCCTCACAGAATCACACCAAGAAACTCAGGCTCCCAAATGCCTGATTCACCAAGGTGACCTCAAGCATCACAACAGGGCAGGGTACTTACCGGGATCTGCAGTGAGGTGGGTTGTAGACCCTTCTGGATGGCACCCTCACAGCTGCCTCCCTGGTGAGAACAGCTCCTCGCTGGCCAGAAGCCCCTTGTCCCTTTGCCTTCTCCAGTCAGTCCTGTTTGTCCACCCAGTGAGTCCCTTGCTCCCTCTCTGCTCCTCAGCCTCTCCCAGGACTGATCTCCCCATGGGGAGCTGGAAGGCTGTGGACGGGAGGGGTTGGGGGAGGGCTGATTCCAGGAGCAGCGTCAGGCAAATTAAATCAGACACCAGAGACTTGGGGAAATCGGATTGGGACGTAATGCAAAGCAGGTGGATGGGGAGGGGTGAAAAGAGAGAGTAGCACACTGTTCCTGAAGGGAAAGAAACCATCACAGGCGGATTTGACTCCGTTTATATCAGCAACAAACTAATAAAGTGAAGATTAGCCAGAACAGGCTTGGATTATCAGCCACCGGGGCAGGGCTTGCTGTACCTCACAGTCCACAGGAATTCCCATTTTCCTGGGAACAGCATGCTACGCATGTCCTGGGTAGGGTGGAAAGAGGAATGATGCCACCCACAGAGGCCCTGATAAGGGAAAACCAATGGCAGGGCCGTCACACCCTCTCTGGGCAGCAAATGGGGCTCTGGATGGGGAAATAGAACTGGGCACAGGGGTCCAGGGTGGCAAAAGATTTGGTGGCATGCCTTTTGGCAGCCACTTTAGTGGGATGCTGCAAGGGGATTATCTTGGCCTCAATCTCTTTTAATCTCTCCCGCGGCTTTGGCCCAAGCCCGAGATAAATACCTTTTAACGGATCTCATCTGACGTCAGGAGGCCATCAGTCTAATCACCCAAGCCACCTTTGGGCAAAGCAAGCCAGAGATGTGGACACTGGCCCCTCACTCTCCAACATGTCCTCACCAGGAAGGAACCACACAGCACCCCCACATAAATCATCAGGATGGACATGTGAATACTAGGATGTGATGGACCCCTTGACAGGGAGAGGGAATTTGAAATGCACACATCAAACTGGCTTTTTCCTGTGACCCTGGGGAGGATGGGAAGCAAAAAGAGTTGCCAATGCAGGTTTCCCAACCTTGCATGTTAAGGAAGTGTCAGGATTCAGATTGAGGAGAGACTTCCCTTTCCACAGAGCAGGGGTCCTGTGCCAACGGTGATGAGGGGATCACTCACCCACCTCTTACACCACTGACCTGGCCCTACAGATTTCTTCCACTTGAACTGTAGCTGAGGTCTCCATGCACAACTCATCAAGGCCTGAGTATGTCATGACCACAGATTGATCTCTGGCTCTAATGCTTCCCAGGAAAAGGGTCACTGCTCTTTTTGATACTCCATATCCACCCCATTCAATTCCTATTTGGCTACAAAATAATCCCATCTCGGGACACTAATCCCCCAGGCAGTGACAGCAGATTGCCTTTCTATCAGGGTGGAAAATGATAAACAAAATCTCTCTTCTGCTTTCAGGGACAATTTAGTGCATGGAGAGAGAAAACACAAACAAACAAAAAAAGATAGGCTTTGCTGCAGGGAAACGTGAGCATATAGTGCTTTTTCTTAAAGGCACTCCTCACCCTTTCCATGCTAGTCATGGCCGAACTCACTTTCTCTCATCTAGGCAAACACTGATTTCTTTCACCGAGCACTCAACCCCCTTCCATTATTTGTTAATTAAATTTCCATCAGCAACAAGTGTACACGTCTCCCTCGTGGTGTACAGACTCCAGCTCCCACCAATATCTGTGTCCAGCATTTCTCTTTTATTCCACATATTCACAGTCCCTCACCTTCCCTGTCTCAGACCAGTGGTGAGGTTCTGGAATCTGCAGGTGCCTAGGAAAGTCAAAGGCTTCAGTTTTGAATTCCTAAATGTGAGACAGCCCTTCCTGAAAGACTCCAGGCTCCTCCTCCCCCTTTCAGATTTAGCCCTGGATGACCAAAAAGTTGGCACTGAGAGGAGTGGGGTGAGAAGACATTATCTTCTTACTTCTGAGTGACACAAACTGGTGAGGCAGTGAAAAAAGTTCCAGGTGCCACTGACTTCCACACTCTGCCCTTCTCCCATTTTTCAGCTGCTGGGACACCACAGAGAAGAAAGCTGCATCCCTTCCCATCACTACAGCTCTAGCATGCTACTACACTGCTCCAGGCCTCGATGGTCCCGGTCCTACCATGACCTGCCAGGCCATGGTGTGTGCCAGTCCTGCCCTCAGGGCCCTGTGTACTCAGAACTCATCTCTGGCCCGCAGCACCTTGGGGCGCTGCTTGCTGTCTGAGCCAGGCTTCTGTCTCCGATTTGCAGGCTTAGTTCCACTGTTGCGAATAGGAGGCTCTGAGGAGGATCTGCTGCTGTGATCAGTCCCCTGATGTTTTTCTCCATCAAGCCGATCCTGCTCCACAGCCTTCTGCTCCATCAGCTCCTCTGCCTTCACCCGTTCCTGCAGCCATATAGACAGAGAAGATGTGAGCCCCTTCCTGCTGGGGTCTCGGCTCTGCTCGCAGGGGCTCACAAGGCACATCATGTCTTTGCCACATCCATCCAACCATCCCAGAGCCCATCCTCTCCTGCAGGACCCATCACAGGCTGGCCCCTCCACCACACACTTTGACAGAGGGCAGCCAACCCCCAGCTGCTGCACTAGGCCCTGCCCCAAAGGAAAGCCCAAAAGCTATTCCTCAGCAGGATTTGATCTCACTTGGAGGTACTTGTATTTGTTTCTTCAGCATGGTCCTTCACCTGCTCCGCATGCTCCCGGGAGTGTGTGTACCAGAGAGCAATGGCACAGCGCCTTCCACGGCTCACTGCCCACACGCCGTGGGGGTTCTCCTTGCCAGAGCTGAAGGCCACCAGCCTCCCGCACTTAGGACGCACCTCGGCCTGCCAAGAGAGAGAAAAGACCATGAAGCCATCAGTCCCCTGCTCTGAAGCGCAGAGTCTTTCTACAGAGGTGGCACTGCCTCTGGGAACATGGAAGCGTAGAGAGCTGCTAAGCACCCATGGCCAGTTTTGTGAGCAAGGTAGACCCTGGCGAGGGGCAGAGAGAATCAAAGGGACAACAAAGGTCACAGATACCCACAGACTCGAAGAGCCTGGAAAATCTCAGCTAGGAAAGAGTTAACCTCTCCTCTGTCTGAGATTTGCCTCAATTTGCCTTTAGCTGCCCGTATTTGAATCTGCCACAGCATCAGCACTGGACTGTTTTTGGAATGGTGGGATCCAATAAGCAAATAGTTTCCTCCCACCCAGACTAAGTCTCACCCTCAGTCCTCTCTCCTTCTTTTGGCCAGTGCCAGACTTACTGTGACAGTCACAGTGTCCACTTCAGTGAAGAAAAGGCCCCCGCCTTGGAAGTCATCATTGAGGTAGAGAATGCCACTGTGGACAAAAAGGAAGAGTACATATGAGCTGAGAAGCTTATTCCTCCCAGGTGCTTCCCCATGCTCCTTGTCACACGAGGCTGTGGATACCACACATTCAAAAAGTGAATAGACCAGTTACCAGGAGAATCCATTTGAGGGTGTTAAATACAGCAGTGCCTAGCTCAGGGGAGTCCCTGAGCTGCAAGGGAGGCTGGGAGAGTGTGCCAGGGAATTAGCTCTACGCGCTTGTCCCGTTTTGTTTTGGTTTTTTCTTAATCCTCTGCAGTGTGCAGAGGCATCTGTGGCACTGCTGTGACAATGCTCAGGGCTTGACAGACCCTGGTTCTGACCTGGCATAGCGTTGTTTATGTTTTAGGGTTGGGAATAATCCAGTGTCTGGAAGAAGAGACTGATCAGCAAAGAAAGCCATGTCTTAACAGCCAAGGAATTTCAAGGTAACATAAGAATGATCAAAAAGAGGCTTGGTGCATAGAGAAAAGAAAATTAAAACAAATTTCTTTATAAAGTTATACAAAAAAAGAAGTAGTGAGGTCACTGTGCAGCACAGGTGAGATCACAGTCAACTAGGTGAAAGAATGGACCACAAACTATGTGAATTCCTCTTGGTATTCAATGAAGCTGATAGAAAACCTCAGAGGAACAACAGAGGCTCTTAATTAATGGGACTGGGGTAAAGAAATAGAAATCAACACTGTGGCTGCTGAAGCAATGTTAAGGATATAAGGGCAGTGAGAGGATTACCAACCCTGAAACCCAGGAAGTTACAGCTCTTCTGCCATAGAGTTTTAATAAAGCTGAGAAGCCAGGGGGGAACATGAGTGGAGAAAAGCAAGGAGAGCTCTTACATGTACAAAGGGACAGGAAGGTAGGGATAATGGTTGAAGCCTAAACAGGCCTGTTATCCTGACCTCAATAGTCTGCAGGGCTTTAGACTCCACTTCTGAGGAGAAGGGTAATTGGAGCACAAGAGGTAAACGGAAAAGGGTCTTAAAATGTAACACAGGGGTACTAAAAACAGATTGGGCTAGCCACACAGTATTTGACAAAACAGTTGATTTTCCACGGAAAGACTACATGCTCAATCTCAGCAGTCTGGACTAAAAGTATAAAAGTATTCAGAATGGTGCCACTGGAGAAATTCCTAATGAAGACAGAAAAGGTGAAGAAGAGCACGTGAATAGCACACAGTGACCAGTGCACTGCTGGCACCAAAAGGAGCAGTGTTCACCTGGAGGAGCATCGCTAGGACTCTTGGGCCCTGGGTCCAATCCTGTTCAACAGTATCATTAATGACTATAGCACAAATACACAGAAGAGGCCGAGGAAGTCTGGAACACAGGGACTTAATTCAAAAAGATACCAGAAGAGCTCAGCCCTTGTGAGCTCACAAGCTCTTGGTTAGTCACAACTCAAACTGCAAGAGGACAGGGATACTCCTGAAAATAGCTCAGCGGCATAGATTCCAGGAAGGTATTTTACCATACATTCAAGTGGAAATCAGAGAACTCAGGGAGGAATGAAGTGACAGCATGGCTTTCTCCCAGGAAGGACAGAGACCTAACCAGTTACATGACAAAGCCTGGTAACTTTACAATCTGATTATACTAAGTCAACACCTGTATCAGAAGGGAAACAACTCGATGATACTGGAATTCCCTTCAAGTCCCACATTCTTGCCATAGGCTGCTTAGAGATTGCTGCTCTGCATATAGCTACCACTCAAAGAAAAGACAAGTAAGATTTCTGGATGCTCAGGGATAGAATGGTGAGTAGCAGGG